TTAGGTGGATGGACTAAGAAAAAAGAAAGAAACAAGACTCAAATTACTAATATCAGATATGAAAGTGGGGACATTACTACTGATTCTATGGTTATAAAAAGGATTATAACAGAGTACTATATACTATATGCCAACAAATTGTAAACCCTAGATAAAATGGAAAATTCCTAGAAACACAAAACCTACCAAGACTAAATTACAAAGAAATAGAAAATCTGAGGTCTGTAACTAATGAGGAGGTTGAATCAGTAATCAAGAATATCCCAATTAAAAAAAAAAGCCCAGGATCTGATAGCTTCACTGCTAAATTCTACAAAGGATTTAAAAACTAACCCTAATCCTTCTCAAACATTTCCAAATACAATTTTAAAATTTGATTCATCCCATGAGGCCAGCATTACCCCCAATACCAAAGCCATACAAAGACACTATAAGAAAAGAAAATTACAGACCAATATCTCTCATGAACACTGATACAAGAATCCTCCAGAAAATGATAGCAAACTGAATTTATTAGATTTAAAAGGTTGTCCACCATGATCAAGTGATATTTGTTCCTGGAATATAAGGATGATTCAACCTTTTAAAAAATCAATCAGTGTAATACATCACATTAACAGAATGATGGCAAAAAAATTAACATTGCAATTGATGCAGTAAAAGCATTTGACAAAAGTCAACACCCTTTCGTGATAAAAACACTCAACAAATTAGGAACACAGAAAAACTATCCTCAATAGGATAAAAATCTTATGTGAAAAACTTACAATGAATATCATACACAATAGTGAAAGACTAAAAGATTTTCTCTGAGATTAGAAATAGGCAAGTATGCCTACTTTCACCACTTCTATTCAACGTAGTACTGGAAGTTCTAGTCAGGGCAATTAGGTTAGAAAATGATAAAGGCATCCAATTTAGAAAGCAAAAAGTAAAATTATCCCTTTTTCAGATGATATGACTTTATATGTAGAAAACCCCAAAGACTACACACACACACACACACACACACACACACACACACACACGTAAAGTTAGAATAAACAAAGTCAGCAAAGTGGCAAGATGCAAAGTCAACATACAAAAATCAGTTGCATTTCTATACCCTAACAACAATCAATCCGAAAAGGAAATTAAGGTAACAATGCCATTAAAGCATTAAAAGAATAAAGCACTTAGGAATTAACCTAACCAAGGAGGTAAAACACTGAATTATGCAATGAAATAACACATTTCTGAAAGAAATTACAGAAAACATAAATAAATGGAAAGATGTCCCATGTTCATGGACTGAAAGACTTAATATTTTTAAGTTGTCAATACTAACCAAAACAATTTAGATTCAGTGCAATCCCTATCAAAATCCCAATGATGAATTTGCAGAAGTAGGAAAACCCATACTAAAGTTCACATGGAATCTCAAGGGACCCCAAATAGCCAAAACAATTCTAAAATAGAAGAACAAAGCAGGAGGACTCACTTTTTGATTTCAAAACTTACTAAAAAACAAGAGTAATTAAAACAGAGTGCTACTTCATGCCAGCACTTTGGGAGGCCGAGGCAGGTGGATCATGAGGTCAACAGATCGGGACCATCCTGGTCAACATGGTGAAACCCCATCTCTACTAAAAATACAAAAAATTAGCTGGGCACGGTGGCGCGTGCCTGTAATCCCAGCTACTCAGGAGACTGAGGCAGGAGAATTGCCTGAACGCAGGAGGCGGAGGTTGTGGTGAGCCGGGATCGCGCCATTGCACTCCAGCCTGGGTAACAAGAGCGAAACTCCATCTCAAAAAACAAAAACAAAAACAGAGTGCTACTAACATAAAGACAGACATATTGACCAATGGAATAGAGAGCCAAGAAATGAATTCCTATGCATATGTGGTCAAATAATTTTTGACAACAGTACAAAGAACATTCATTAAAAAAAGGACAATCTTTTAAAAAAAATAAAGCTGGGAAAACTGAGTATCTACATGCAAAAGAATGACATTGGAACCTTAATTAACACCATATTAAAAAATTAATTCAAAATGGGTCCATGACCTACATGTAACCCTTAAAATTATAAAACTCTTAGAGAAGGCAACTTAGGGCAAAAGCTTCCTGACAGTGGATTTGGCATTGATTTCTTAGATATGACATCAAAGGTACAGACAACCAAAACATGATAAATTGGACTTCATGAAAATTTAAAACTTTATGCATCAAAAGTAAAAAGGTGACTCATAAAATGGAAGTAAATATTTGCAAATCATATATATAATAAGGGGTTTATATATAGAAAACTCCTAAAACTCATCAATAAAACCACAAATAACCTAATTTGAAAATGAGCAAAGAACCTGAACATTTCTCCAAAGAAGTTATACAAATGGCTAGTAAGCACATGAAAAGATGCTCAACATCACTATTTATTAGGGAAATGCACATCAAAACTATAATGAAATACCACTTGATACCAATAAAGGTGGCTATTTCAAAAAAGAAACAGAAAATAACAAGTGTTGGTGAGGATATGGAGAAACTAGAACACTTTTGCACTGTTAGTGGAAATGTAAAATGATATAGCCACTGTGAAACCAGTATGGCAGTTTCTCAAAAAATTAAACATAGAATTACGATACAATTCCATAATTCCACTTTTATGCATATAGCCAAAAGAACTGAAAGTAGGGTCATGAAGAGGTATTTATACATCCATGTTCTTAGCAGCATTATTCACACAATACCTAAAACATGAAAATAGTCCAAATGTCCATCAACAAATGAATGGATAAACAAACATGGTATATAAAATATTATTCAGCCTTAAATGGGAAGGAAATTCTGAGATATACTACAACATGGATGAACTTGGAGAACATTATGCTAAGTGAAATAAGCCAATCACAAAAATACAAATACTATATGATTCTACTTATATGAGGTACTTAGCATAGTCAAAATCATACAGGCAGAGAGTAGAACAGTGTTTTTCAGGGGCTGGGGAGCGGGAGAAGGAGCTACTGTTTGATGCCGTCCAGTTCTACCACTGAGAAATACCCACTGTTTAATGGATATAAAGTTCTAGTTTTGTAAGATGGAAAGAGTTCTGGAAATAGTGGTAAGGCTGGGCACAATGGCTCACACCTGTAGTCCTAGCACTTAGGAAGGCGGTGGCAGGCAGATTGCTTGAGCCGTGTGGCAGGTTGATGCCGCAGTGTGCAGTGATCATGGTACTGCACTCCAGAATGGGTGACAGAGTGAGACCCTGTCTCAAAGAAGAAAAAAAGAACATAGATGGTGGTGATAGTTGCACAACAATATAAATGTACTTAATACCATTGAACTATACATTCATAAATGGTTAAAGTGGTCAATTTTGTTATGTGTATTTTGCCACAAAATAAAAATTAGAAAATAGAATTAACACATGATGAATATTAACAAGTTTCTATAAGACTCCATGTATTTCTTAGCAAAAGATAAATACCCAAATAAAAGAATATGTAATGCTTACAAAATTCTTGAGACCTTTCTACTTATTTGCTGTTTTAAAGTTTCTATTAAAAAATAAGGCCAGCCAGGGCAACATAGCAAGACCTCATCTCTAAAAAATTAGCCAGGTGCAATGGTGTGTACCTGTAATTCCAGAGACTCAGTAGGCTGAGGAAGGAGGATTGCTTAAGCCCAGGAGCCCAAGGCTGCAATAAGCTATGATCACCTGGGCAACAGGGTGAGACCCTATCTCTGAAAAAGAGGAAGAAAAAAAAAGAAAAGAGGGAAAGAGAGGGATGTGGCCAATTAACCTGATTCAAATAAGGTGACTGTTTCAAAGGGGAGGGGAGATGTTTTGACCCTCCTACCTTTGAAGCAAATACTTGTTTTACCTGCAAAACTGGCTTCCTGTATCTGGCCCAAAGACTAAAGAGGAGTACAGAAGGTTTGGACTTCAAACAAGAGAAAGAAAGAAAGAAAGAAAAGAAGAGAAAAGGAAGGGAAGGGGAGGGGAGGGGAGGGCAGGGGAGGGGAGGGGAGGAGAGGGGAGGGGAGGGGAGGAAAAAGAGAAAAAAAGAAAAAGAAAGGAAGGAAAGAATGAAAGAAAGAGAGAGAGAAATCTCACAGATAAAGAGCTTTACAGTCTTGGATATTACTCCTAAGATTCAATAGGAGTAATATCTGAAGACCTCTGCTAAGCATTGATGAAGAAGAAATAAAATAATTTTTTTTCTCTTGATATCCTGAAACTTCCATCTAAATAGTTTAAAAATAATCAAGTCAAGACTGGCCTAGAGGAGAAAGGCATTCCTAATTTAGGTCAGGTTCTAAAACATTCAGTTGAAGTGTAAACCCATGGATCAAAGTCTGACTTCCCATAGACCTTGGGGTGACGCACACTGGCCTGGGCAGAGAACCCCCTAAGAAAAGCGATGGTCCTTTACTTCTGCACAAAGGCTCTAACATGGCCCCTGACGTTGTGGGCTGGTTGTGTAAATGCTGAACGAGTCACCAGAAACAGCATCTCCCCAAAAGTCCTGGAGGCCTTTGTCACTAAGAAAGGTAGCTTTTTTTTGAACGGAGTTTTGCTCTGTCTCCCGGGCTTACAAATTCAAGCAATTCTCCTGCCTCAGCCTCCCAAGTAGCTGAGATTACAGGAGCACACCACCAGGCCTGGCTAATTTTTGTATTTTATTTTGTATTTTGTAGAGATGCGGGGGGGGGGGGGGGGGCGAGGGTTCACCATCTTGGACAGGCTGGTCTCGAACTCTTGACCTCAGGTGATCCACCCGCCTCAGCCTCCCAAAGTGCTGGGATTACAGCCATGAGCCACACGCCTAGCTGGAAAGTGGCTATTTTAAGAAGAAGATTAAGAACATGTTTCGCTGGGTCACATTATTCTGGTGACAGAGGAGAACACCACCCTTACTCCAAAGCATCTCTGGGAAGGGCAGGGTTGCCTGCACCCTCTGCACAACGTCTCTCCAGACTGCTGATGCCAACTTCCGGTCGCTCACCTCATCGGAGTTCGGGTAAACGCGGAGCTCCAGTTTTTCAGTTCCTCCTGGAGCTCGACGATGTCCATCACGCCGTCCCCATTGTGGTCCAGGTCTTCGAAAAGGATCCTGTAGCGTAAATAGTCATCGTCACCCTGGCAGGCCACCGCCTCCAGCAGGAAGTCCTGCAGCCAGCGCAGCATGGCCGGGTCCGGAGGCTGAGGGGACCACTCGGCCCGCTTGCCCACACCGCGACACTCGCCGTTGCCTCCTCCACGCCCGGCTGCCCAAGGCAGGGGGTCCCGGCCGTCCGTCGCTTCCTGTACTGCCTGGCGGAGCCGCCGCCGTTCGGAGCCCACGCGGACAAGGCCACCTGCGCCTGCGGGCTCTCTGGCGCCGCGGAGCGGACCCTCGGCGGAACCTCGGGACGCCACCTTGTGGGATCCTTGGCCGAGACGACACGCGACACTAGAGGCGCCAGATGTGAGCTGAGGTACCAGAAGTGGCGTTGGGTACCTAGGACTGCTGGATGGGAGGTCGACGCGGGAGCCGAGGTACGTTTGGGAAAAGGGAGAGCATTCCCCAGGTGGCGTCCAAAGGGCACTGGCGGATGTAAGATTCTCCCGGCACAGACTCAGTGCCTGCCGGAAGTCACTGTGGCTGGAAATGAGGCAGGGAGTGAGTTGCTCAAACCCGCTCTCCTGATTCCAGCATAGAGTACCCTGGTGCCACCCTTCCTACCAGGAGGACCTGCACCTGGGGGTTGCGACCCTGGTGACCCCGCAAAAAGGGTCTAAAGAGGGGAGGCCTCCTGAGGAGCTTCTTCTGCCCCGTCCCTGTCTCTCTCTTCCTTCTCTGCCAGCCCAGCCCTTGTTGGCAAACCTATTCTGGCCATGATGGGATTAGACTTTTCACGTTCTTATATAAACTTTTTCCAGTTAATTGAGTTGTTTGCAGAAATACTTTTATCTCTATTAGTAAAATAAAAATAATAAAGATACATACAGATTAAAATTAGAACATTTTTGCAAATCCAGAAATATGAAACACACATCATAACAGTTCCAATATATGCCACTTTTCTATTCATAAATTGTATGCCACTTTTCTTTCATAAATTTTGTTCTAAAACATAGAGAAAAAATAAATAGCAAAATAAAATAGAGCTGAAGAATTTAGAGTATTTTTCCACTATGCATTTATTTTAAATCAATCTCTGATTTGTGTTATCTATAGAGCTATTGAGGGATCCATTTGCCATTTATTTTTCCTCTATACTTCAGAATAGAAATTCGTTGATATGAATTTATATAAATTTGTTTATAGAAGGTTAATTTCTAACTGCTTTTTAATTATGAGGCATAGTAACACATAGTTTCTCAAGATGTGCTTTATATTAGTCACATTTATGTGACCTTTAGGAACTTGATTATAAGTTTAAAATGCTTCTATTAATCCTATTAAGAAAAAAAGGGAGGCTGGGCACAGTGGCTCACACCTTAAATCCCAGCACTTTGGGAGGCAGATCAGGAGTTCAAGACCAGACTGGCCAGCATGGTGAAACCCTGTCTCTACTAAAAAATACAAAAATTAACTGGGCATGGTGGCACGTGCCTATAATCCCACCTACTTGGGAGGCTGAGGTAGGCGAATTGCTTGAACCCAGACCCTGGAGGTGGAGGTTGCAATGAGCCGAGATCGCACCACTGCACTCCAGCCTGGGCTACAGAGTGAGACTCCATCTCAAAAAAAACAAAAAAAGAAAAAAAATGGGAGAATCTGACTAAAAATTGACCTTGGTTAATTTTTAGTCAGATTCTTGGTTAATATAAATGCACAAATTTATCTCAGTTGTGCATTTATATTCATTTCAATTTGTAGAAAATTTAACAGCTTATTCCATGATTAATCATTTATTAAGTACCCTATCACTGAGAAAATTAAATTTCTCTGATTTCACAGCAAATTCAATCATGGCATTTAACAAGAGGGAAAAAGATTATATCAAATATTCTTTTGAGTTTCAACCGTGTGAGAGTAGATTTTATCTATATTTTAATAACCTTGAGAAGTATGATACAACCCCAATTATTAAAGTAACTGAAACTCTGTAATCTATACAATGGCAGAAATAGCTGTGTCCTGAAAAACTGGAAAAAATGGACTCATCTACTGTAGTTACTAGTTGTTTGATATATTATAAATTATGTAATTTATAGTTATATCCATTAAATCTCAATTTTAAACCTATCTAATCTTTATAATGTAGCTGTTCATAGACATCTTAAAATATCTTTAGCCTATTCTCTCTCAACATAAATTGAAAAGATAGAGGCAAAAAAAGCAGGGATGGATAAAAACACTATTCATCCTTCCTACAAGATGAGGATTGTAAAGGGAAGTTCCAGACCTACTTTAGTAGGTCAGAGTCTGAAAGTAAAGTATAAAGTACATTGATTGAAAAAGTCTTTTTTGCCTTTTTAAATACAGATCTGAGTATAAGAACTCACACATTTTTCTGAATTACTTTGGTCACATTGGTGACTTTCTTGTAATGTTTATAATGTTATTGAGAGGTCACCATTATTCTATTCACAACTGGTAGGAGACCGAGGTATTCTGATGCCATGAAATTCTGTTTAGCACTTTCTGTTTTGTTTTGTTTATTTTAGAGAAAGAAAAGGAGCCCAAACTGCGCTGTTTGGCTATGAATCATAGTTTTAAATGCGTGAGTTTTCTATCGGTGCTTTCAAACAGATTTAAAATATGGCAAGGAGAGGTCAAAAAGAAAAATAAATTTCAAATGCACATAAAGTGCTGAAATTTTAGCTTTTTAAAATACAAAGTGGAAAATTCAGAAAAGCTTCAAAATAGTCCAACTCTTTAATATGAAATTATACTAGGTTAATTATGTAATTAGGTTATATTCTGTATTATAAATTATATTTGAATCCACTTAAATGCAAATTTCTGTGGCTGTCCATGAACATTTGGAGAAATATAAATAGATTTTATGAATATTAAAGATTTTAATTCACCCAGAAATTAATAAACTATATTTCTGGTTTACTTAAAATTTAAGATTCAAGTCTAATTGTATGTTTACCTTTTGGGAAAATGGATATAGCATCTTTTCATACAGACCTTTTGAAAATTAAGGAAAAAACCAAGACATTTTTATATTTATAAACAAGCGTCCAGATACTGACAGTTCAAGATTTAATTTCTAAAATATTCCCAAGAGTGGTTTTCCTGATTCATGAACCACACAGTTTACACATATTGAAGTAAGAAACTTTAAGAAATGTGGAGTCATGCCTTTGAAAAATCCTTCCTGTCACTCCACTCCTTTTATAAATTTGCAAAAATAAGCTGATCATATTTAGCTGTGGGACTCCTACTATGGCTAGAGAATGCAAGGGAAGGGAAAAGGCCAATTAATTTGATATTTTAGCTTTCCTTTAAATACTAAGTTAAAACATGCCAAAACAGATAATAAAACAAACAAATATTTCACAAGGATACCCAAGGGAAAATCTCTGGTTAATTATAGTTTATAGTCAGGGCCTCTCCCATTAATTGATGGGTGAGCGAGCTCATGCCAGGAGCCTGTTCAGCCCAGCCTTCTTCTCCTGCTTCTGTGCCTTCCAAGTCCTAGTTAGTGAGCAACCAGCACAGCACCTGGAATGCAATAGGCGCTTGGCTTATAAAGGGGAGACCAAAGGAGCCCCTTTCACCATGAGGGACGTCGGGCCAGCCATCTGTCCCGGGCCTTCATCTGCATCCTGGCAGTTAGCTCTGGCTCTGATGCCCTGCTCTCTGCTTTATGCTGTACCTGTTATTCCCAGATTGTAAAGTTCATGGCAGACATATTAGTGTTCACGTCCCATTTTACAGGCGAGCAAACTAAGGATCTGAGAGGTGGTGTGATTTTTCCAGAGTCTGGGAGGGCAGGGCCCTGTCTGAAGCTGAGACACACCTCATAACAGCTTGCTATCTGGGGCTTCCCATCAGGAAAGCGGAAGTCCCCATGGGGCCCTGGCTTCTGGGCAGCTCCCATAAAACATTGTTCAATCTGAAGATGCAAGTGTCAGAGGAAGGCGAGATGTTCTCATGAAAGCGTCTGTCCTCAGAAGGAGACAGGAGTGCATTGCAGCTCTGTGAACCCCATTGGGTGGTTCCAGCAGCAGGGCGTGTGGTGGACACGAGACGGCCCCGTTTGAGTTCTGCTGCCAGAGGACACGTAGAACCTGAACTTCAGAGGCTGCTCCTTGGAGGCCCTGACAAGACACAGGAGGGAAGGGAGATTTCCCATGGTCCTGCCTTCATTGGGTGGCTGTTATTTATTTATTTTTCTTTTTGAGACACAGTCTTGCACTGCCGCCCAGACTGGAGTGCAATGGTGTGATCTCAGCTCACTGCAACCTCTGCCTCCTGCGTTCATGCGATTCTGCTGCCTCAGCCTCCTGAGTAGCTGGGATTACCGGTGCACACTACCACACCCAGCTGATTTTTTGTATTTTTAGTAGAGATGGGGTTTCACTATGTTGGCCAGATTGGTCTCAAACTCCTTCCCTCATGATCCACCCACCTTGGCCTCCCAAAGTGCTGGGATTACAGACATGAGCCACCACACCTGGCCACAGGTGTCTTATTTTCGGTGCAGGGGCTGGCGAGGAACATGGTGGTGAGCAGCCTGCGAGGACGCGGGGCTTTCATCATGCACAGTACCTGCTGTTTGGTTTGGCCAGCGTGGCCCGTGAGCCCCTAGGGCTGGGCAGAGGCTGCCCCCGACAGGCTCATGGGTGGAGGGAACCATCTCACCCCCGCCCCTTCTCTCTTCTATTCGCAGCGTCAGTGGGACGGGAGGGTGGTCTGCCCGGGGATGCGAGCTCCTGTCCAGAAACCGGACGCATGTCACATGCCAGTGCAGCCACACAGCCAGCTTTTTGATCCCACTATTTGATGCTCATCACTATTTAATTTTCCTTCCTTTTAGGAAAAAAAGTCTGACCACTAATGGTGAAATTTACTTATAATTAATGTGGAGTTACAATTTTAAAAGTTCTTGAGACATACAAAGATACCTTTATTTAACATCTCATGTCTTAAGAACATATCAAATTCAGAAACAAACAAAAATGTGTTTCTCATTCCATGTTTCCATTTTCAGGGAATAGCTGCACCATTCATATATCTTCTGAAACTGGAAACCTGGAAGGTATACATGACATTTCCCTCTCCCTCATCTTACACATTTAAACCATCACCTATCAAGTTCACTCTTCAAGTCTCTCTCAAATCCATCCACTTGTCTTCATGTCCACTGCCACATCTTCTGTCTCCAAACTACCATCATCTCTTGCCTAGACTGTTGTAACTGCCCTACTCTTATTTTTTCTTTTCTTTTTTTCTTTTTTTTGAGATGGAGTCTGGCTGTGTTGCCAGGCTGGAGTGCAGTGGTGCAATCTCATTTCACTGCAACCTCCACCTCCTGGGTTCAAGCGATTCTTCCACTTCAGCCTCCCGAGTAGCTGGGACCAGAAGTGCGTGCCACCACGCCCAGCTAATTTTTTGTACTTTTAGTAGAGATGGGGTTTCACCATGTTGACCAGAATGGTCTCGATCTCTTGACCTCATGATCCACCCACCTCGGCCTCCCAAAGTGCTGGGATTACAGGCATGAGCTACTCTTAACATTTTTTCTCTATCCTTTAATCAGAGTTCACTTCCAACAATGCAAATCGAATACTTTCCTGCCTCAGTAATTTCCCATTATGCTTAAAGACAGTATCATTTGACCTCTCTTTCCTCCTCCCACCTCACCTGTACAACTCTTGCTTTCTGCACTACAGCCATACAAGCTATTTTTCAGTTTCTCAAAGTGTCCCATGCTTCTTCTGGCTCATTACACATGCTTTTCCCTTTGCATGAAAGTCATTCCCTGTTCTTTACCCATTTAACTCCACCTCAGCCTTTAGCTCTCAGTTCAAGGAACACTTTCCAGAACTTCCTCATTTCCCCCTATTACAGCCCTCAGAGAACACTATTTTTTCTCTGTAGCTATAATTGCAGTTTATAACTATATATTTTTATAAATATTTAATTAATATCTATCTTCCCTACTAGACTACCAATTCTATAACAGCAGGATCTCTTTTTGTTCACCCAAAACCCATGTGTTTGGCACACTGCACAGTACCTGGCAACCTTAAATTCTCAAATTATAATAGCTAGTATTTTTCTCTCTCATCTTTATATTATGCTAGCATTTTTCTCTCTAATCTTTATATTATGTTCCCAAAAGTGACGTAACTAAATACAGTAAAATCAATAGACAACTGAAAAGTCTTTCACTATTTTAGTCTAAACATTCTGTCCCCCCACCCCCACAAGAAATTAAATCACTCCTCTAAAAGGTAAAGAAGATCACTTGAAAATTTAGAAAATATTTACTTGCCATGAAATTTCTTCAAAATTGTTCTATTGCTTATGCATCTTTTTGTTTTTTTAATCAGAAACTAATAACATCCCCTCCAATTTCTATAGTTTTATAATGAAATTGAAAACTTCCTTATCTTTTTCTAATGTTGATCTTACTTTGCTCATTGATTTTCTCCCAACTTATTATGAAAACTGTAAACTCTAGAAAGGATAGCACAATGAACATTTATATACTCACTACCTATAAAATTTAACATTTTGCCATAATTACATTTTGTCTCCTTTCTCCATTCTACTTAAACATATATATAAATGTGTGTGTGTGTGTATTTGAGCCATTTGAAACTAAGTTACAGATGTGATGACACTTCACCCTTGAGTATTTGGACATATCCTAAAAACAAGGACATTAGTCTACATTACCACAATGCTGTAATTATATTTTAGAAATGTAAAAATAATTCTCTATCGCTTGAGATGCTAAGGCAGGAGGATCACTTGAGCCCAGGAGTTTGAAGCCAGCCTAGGCAACATACAAGGTCCTTTCTCAGAAAGAAGGAATGAAAAGAAAGCAAGAAAGCAAGAGAAAGAAAGAAAGAAAGCGGGGGAGGGGGGAGAGAGAGAAAGAGAAAAGAAAGGAAGGAAGGAAGGAAGGAAGGAAACAAGGCAACAAGGCTCTGTATCATCAATATCTATTCTGTAATCAAATTTTTCCAATTGTACCCAAAAGGCCATTTATAGATTTTTTCAAACTAATATCCAAATAAGTCTACCCATTGCTCTTGTGTTTATTCTTTTAGTCAAGACTAGTAGCAGTCCACCACCAACACTGTTTTTCCCACAACAATGACTTTTTGAAGACCCCAGGCCAACTGTCTTGTAGAATATCCCACACTCATTATTTGTTTGATTTTTCTTAATAGTATCATTTAACTTGTTCCTCCATCACCTGTATTTTCTATAGTTCTAAAGACATGGTCAGATTCCAGTAAAAAATTTTGGGCAAAAATGCTTCATAGGAGAGGCCATGCAATTCATATCACACTACTGTCTCTTCAGCTTGGTAACATTTTTGTTTTTTGTCTAAAATATTTACCATCTGTCTAGTAATTGGACCCTATTCTCCTAAGCTGAAATTTGTTAAATATCTAAAACAAATAAACAAACAAAAACCAGGGTGAATGAAGTTCTTATGTCAGTGTACTTTTCTTTTCTCTCTGTTTTGCTTGCATTGTTTGCTCTGCCATAACTTCAAGCAGTGACTTTATTGCTTATTACTAGCAATAAGGAGGACATTTTATGATAATAAAATGGTCAATCCTAAATTTGTATACACATAATAATATAGCTTCAAAATATATAAAGCTAAAGTGGCAAATGTAGAAGAGTGATAGGGAAATCCACAATCATGGTTAGATATTAAACATAACTTTTCAGTAGCCAGTAAGAAAAGCAGACAAAAATAATCATAAGGATATAAAACATTTGAATGACACATTTAACTAATTAATCTTATTTTTTTTTTATTTTTAATTTTTTTAGTAGAGTCAGGGTTTCACCATGTTGGCCAGGCTGGTCTCAAACTCCTGATCTCAGGTGATCCTCCCACTTCAGCTTCCCAAAGTACTGGGATTAGAGGCGGGAGCCACTGCACCCGGTCTCATCTTTTTCTTTTTCTTTCTTTTTTTTTTGGAAAGGAAAGAAGAAAAGAAAGAGAAAAAAAGGAGTGAAGGAGAGGAAGTAAGAGGAAGAAAAAGAGGGAGAGAGAACAGGAGTATTGCTTTATTCTAAATATGGGTATTGATAATGGCCGATCAATATTTTGTGTATTTAAAGTGGAGAATATATATTTTGTGTATTTAAAATGGAGAGCTCCATAAATATTTATTAAGTTTACTTGTTCCGGATCTGAGTTCAAGTCCTGGTTGTCCTCATCAATTTTCTGTCTCGTTGAGTCTAAATCTCTTTATAGGTCTTATGTATCTGGGTGTTAGGATCGTTAGCTCTTATTGTTGCATTGATCCTTTTACCACTATATCTTTGTTGCTTTGAAATCTATTTCAAATGGATCTTATAGAACACATATATAGAACATGAAATGCAACTTCAAAACCCATTTGTTTTCAAGTATACAATGAACATTTACCAAAATAGACCATTTTCTGGACCAATAAGGCAACTCTCAATACATTTCAAATAACAGAAGTCATACAAACCACACTCTGACGGCAGTGCAATTAAAACAGGAGTTCACTGTCAGGAAGATAATCGGAAAAATTTCCAAATGTTTGTAAATCTAACAAATATTTCTACATAACTGATATGTCAAAAAGAAATCATGATGGAAACTGGATGATATATTGAAATGAACAATAATGAAAATATTACATATCAAAATTTATTGAGTGTAGGTAAAGCAATACTTAGAGGAAGATTAAAAACTTTAAATTAATATACTAGAAAAGAGAAAAAAGTCAATTATTTTAGTGAGGGATTAGCCACTTTTTTCTGTAACTGTCCAGATAGTAAATATTTAGTCTCTGCAGGCCACGTGGTCTCTTGCAGTTACTCAATTCTGCCCTTGCAGCATGAAGTAGCCGTAGACAATACATAAAAGTGTATCCATTAAATTTGATTTACAGAAACAGATGGCATGTCAGATTTGGTCCTCAGGCTGGAGTTTGCCAACCTATGACCTAAACTTCAAACCCAGGTAACTAAACAGGAAAATAGAAAGGAGGATGAAAATAGTAAAGATAGGATTAGACTAATGAAACAGGCCAGGTGAGGTGACTCACACTTGTAATCCCAGAAATTTGGGAAGCTGAGGCAGGAAGATCACTTCAGGCCAGGAGTTCGAGACCAGCTTGGTCAACAACGTGAAAACCTGCCTCTACTAAAAATACAAAAATTAGCTAGGCATGGTGGTGCATGCCTGTAGTCCCAGCAACTTGGGAGGCTGAGGCACAAGAATCTCCCTTATCATTTCTCATTGTGTTTATTTGAGTCTTCTCTCTTTTCTTCTTTATTAGTCTTGCTAGTGGTCTATGCATTTTATTGATTTTTTTTTTCTCGAAAAATCAGCTCCTGGATTTCTTGATTTTTTGAAGGGATTTTCAAGTCTATCTATCTCCTTCAGTTTCACTATGAGCTTGGTTATTTTTCATCTTCTGCTGGCTCTGGGGTTTGTTTGCTCTTGGTTTTCTAGTTCTTTTAGCTGTGATGTTAGGGTGTCAATTTGAGCTCTTTCTAGCTTTTTGATGTGGGCAATTAGTTCTATAAATATATCTCATAACACTGCTTTTGCTGCACCCCCAAGATTCTGGTACATTGTCTCTTTCTTCCCATTGGCTTTAAATAACTTTCTGATTTCTGCCTTAATTTCATTATATACCCGGGGGTGTTCAGGACCAGGTATTCAATTTCCATGTAGTTGTGTGGTTTTGAGTGGGCTTCTTAATCTTGAATTCTAATTTGATTGCACTGTGGCCTGAAAGACTTATTATTTCAGTTCTTTTCCATTTGATGAGGAGTGTTTTACTTCCAATTATGTGATGAATTTTAGATTAAGTGCCATGTGACACCAAAAAAATGTATATTCTGTTGTTTTGGGGTAGAGGGTTCTGTAAATATCCATCAGGTGGTCCACTTGGTCTGAAGCTGAGTTCAAGCATTGAATATATTTGTTAATTTTCTGTCTTGATCTGTCTAATATCGACAGTGAGGCATTAAAGTTTCCCACTATTATTGTGTGGGGATCTAAGTCTCCTTGTAGATCTTTAAGAACTTGTTTTATGAATCTGGGTGTTCCCGTATGGGTGCATATATATATGATAGTTAACTCTTCCTGTTGAATAGATCCCTTTATCATTATTTAATGCCCTTCTTTCTCTTTTTTGACCTTTGTTGGTTTAAAGTTTATTTTATCAGAAACAAGAATTGCAACCCCTGCTTTTTTCTGCTTTCTACTTGCTTGGTAAATTTTCCTCCATCCCTTAATTTTGAGTTTATGTGCATCTTTGCACATGAAATGTGTCTCTTAAATACATCATACCTATGCGTCTTGTTTTTATCCAGCTTGTCATTCTGTGCCTTTTAATTGGTGCATTTAGCTCATTTACATTTAAGTTTAATATTGTTATGTGTGAATATGAAACTGTCATCATGATACTGGCTGGTTAATTTTGCAGACTTGTTAATGTAGTTGCTTCATATTGTCACAGTCTGTGTACTTGAGTGTGTTTTTGTAGTACCTGGTAATAGATTTTCCTATCCATGTTTAGTGCTTCCTTCATGAGCTCTTGCAAGGCAGGCCTAGTGGTGATGAAATCCCTCAGCATTTTCTTGTCTGAAAAGATTTTATTTCTCCTTTGCTTATGAAGCTTAGTTTGGCCAGATATGAAATTCTGGGTTGGCATTTATTTTATTTAAGAATGTTTAATATTGGCCCCCCAATTTCATCTGGCTTGTAGGGTTTCTGTTGAGAGATCTGCTTGTTAGTCTGACGGGCTTCCTTTTATAGGTGACCTGGCCTTTCTCTCTGACTGACCTTAACATTTTTTTCCTTCATTTAGATATTGGAGAACCTGATGATTATGTGCCTTGGGGTAGATTTTTTGATGGAGTATCATTGGGGCTCTCTGGATTTCCTGAATTTGAATACCAGCCTCTCTTGCTAGGTTGGGGAAGTTCTGGTTGATCTCCTGAGGTGTGATTTCCATCTTGGTTAAATTCTCCCCAACTCTTTCAGGTACTCTGATCAGTCATAGGTTCAGTCTTCTTACATAGTCCCGTGGTTCTCATAGATTTCATTTGCTCTTTTTCATTCTTTTTTTCTCTAATTTTGTCTGCCTGCCTTATTTCAGCAAGATAGCCTTCAAGGTCTGATATCCTCTCTTCCACTTGGCTGCTTTGGCTACTGATACTTGTGTTTGTATCATGAAGTTCCCGTGCTGTGTTTTTCAGCTTCATCAGGTTATTAATGTTCCTTTCTAAACTGGTTATTCTAGTTAATACCTGCCATAATCTTTCATTATGGTTCTTAGCTTCTTGCATTGGGTTAGAACATAATCCTTTAGCTCAGTGAAATTCATTATTACCCACTTTCAGAAACCTGCCTGTCAGCTCATCAATCTCAGCTTCAGCCCTGTTCTCTGCCCTTACTGGAGAAGTGCTATGATCATTTGGAAGAGAGGAGACATTCTGGCTTTAGAAATTTTCAGTGTTTTTCCTCATCCTTGTGGTTTTGTCTACCTGTGATCTCTGAGTCTGCTGACCTCTGGATGGGTTTTTGTGGGGTCTTTTTTGTTGATTGTTGTTGCTTTCTGTTTGTTGTTTTTCTTCTAACAGTAAAGCCTCTCTTCTGCAGGTCTGCTGCGGTTTGCTTGGGGTCCACTTCAGACCCTGTTCACCCGGGTATCAACAGTGGAGGCTACAGAACAGCAAAGATTGCTACCTGCTCCTTTCTCCAGAAGCTTCTTCCCAGAGTGGCACCCACCTGATGTCAACCAGAACTCTCCTGCATGAGACCCCTGACGGGAGGTCTCACCCAGTCAGGAATCTCGGGATCTGGGACCTGCTTAGGCAGGCAGTCTGACTGTCTCTTAGCAGAGCTGGTGCTCTGTACTGGGGGAAAAGCCCTGATAGCCTGATAGCCCTCATTGGGATGAGCTGCTCTCTTCAGAGCCGGCAGGCGAGAAAGATTAAGTCAGCTGAACCTGAGACCATGGCTGCCCCTCCCCTCAGGTGCCCTGTCTTAGGGAGATGAGAGTTCTGTCTGTAAGGCCCTGACTGGAGCTGCTGGAATTCCTGCAAGGATGCCCTGCCCGGTGAGAAGGGGTGGCTTTGGGTCCCACTGAGGAAGCAGTCTCTCCATGATCTGCAACAGCCACTTTGCTGTGCTGTGCGGAATTCCACCCAGTCCAAACCTTCTAGTCTCCTTAGCACTGTCAAGGGAAAACTTCCAACTAAAGCCTCGCTAATGGTGGTCGCCCCTCCCCCTGGGAACTCAGTTGTCCCAGGCCGACTCCAGACTGCTGTGCTGGCAGCGGGGATTTCAAGCCAGCCGGTCTTAGCTTGCAGGGCTCCGTGGGAGTGGGACCCTCTGAGTTAGACTGCTTGGCACCCTGGCTACAGTTCCCTTTCCACAGGAGTGGACGTTTCTCCGGCCTCCCTGGAGTTCCAGGTGCTGCTGGAGTAAGTAAAAACTGCCGCTCAGCGCCTGCCCAAATGGCTGCAGACAGGTGCGGCTGCACAGTACCTGGCAACCTTAAATTCTCAAATTATAATAGCTTGGTGGGCTTGGACAAGAGCTGCAAGAAGTGTCTGGATGAACAGGCAGAGAATCTTGTCCTCTTTTCTCACTTTCTTCCAAACAGACAGTCTCTTTCTCTCTGTTGAGCTGTCTAAAGCTGGGGGAGGGGCGACACAACTATCCCTCTGGCCGCCACTCCTGGGACTGCACTGAGTCAAATCTGAAGCCAGCACATCACTGTGATGCTGGGACCTTCACATGCAGCTTAGAGTTTGTGGTCCATTCTTAGTTTCCAAATGTTCCACGTGCTCTGTGTTGATGTGTCTCATCTTTCCATCTAGATTGTCCCAGCATCACCAAACATCCCACACGCTGGTCATGTCACCTTTGACACTTGCTTAATTACTCTGAATCTCTCTTTCCTTGAAATAAAGAGAAGAGCAACCATCCCTCTCACTTTCCCAAACTGTTGTAAGAAATAAAGTGAATAGTAGAACTGTGGTATTTTAGCATTGAAAGAAAACTCAGTGATATCCAATCACTCCATTTCCAGGTGATGAAACAGGATTCTGAGAAGTTCACGGAGTTCCTTTTCCCAGGTACAGAGCTAGCAATGATAACTAAAGCTATCTTAAACTTACCGTAGCTATACTTAGGTAGTGATTCACTTATGGAGCAATTTTACATAACTAATTTAATGATTGTTCATTCACAAATAAGCCCCTGCTCCATGCCTGGCCTGTGCTAGGCAGGGGGATGAAGATCAACAACAAGCTCCACCCTCTGGGAGCTGTGGCATCTCAAGGGGGAGTGGCAAGAGGCCCTAATTCAAGAGTGAAAGACAGCATTGCTGGGGAGCACACAGCAGCGGCTGGGGCCAGGGAAGGTCTCAGACAGATGAGGTCAATGAGAGCCCTGGGCTACAGACAGCAGACTTTTAGGTGAGACGACAACCAAATTCAAATGGTACCTGTGGTTTTCAACCCCAATATTGGGCTGTCTCTGCATCGATATCATGCAAACTAAGCACAGAGGGATCGGGGGAGGATTCCTGGTGTTCCCCAGGCTGAGAGGGCTCAGATCTTGGAATGACTCTGGGAAGGGAGGTAGCTCAGGGCAGTGGTTGGGACACAGATGGGCCAGACTGCCTAGGCCCATGTCCTGGCTGACTCCTTTCTAGCTGCGTGGCATGGACAATCATGACAACCTTGCTGTGTCTCGTTGTCTCATCCACAAATGGGTAGAACAGGGCAACTACGAGCACTGAATGGGCCGAAACTTCCAAAGGCTTAAACCATGGCCTGGTATGTAGCCAGTGCAGCAAGAGTATTGGATGATGAACCTTGTGCCCCCCATTGGTGAAACAGGAATGGTTATTTCATGCCAGAGTTGACATCGACTTTTTAAGGAAGAAAGTGGAATCTAAGTGGAGGATCAGAGAAAGCACTGGGTTTGGATGGAGGCTGAGGAAGGGAGAGGGCAGCTGTGTCAGGAGGAGTGGAGACATGGGAAGTTCAGAGCTGGCCTGAAGTCCTGATGGGAGAGCCGTGGGTTGGGCTGCACACTGCCATCTGCCTCTGGCTGGGGGGACCAGAGACCCTGGCACACTTCACACTGGAGGTTCTTTCCTGTTGGGCTTGATGTGCTATTCAGATGCAGCAGGAGCTGCCCAGGAACGTCCAGCTCATTTCATCACAGTCAGCTCTGGGGGAGAGGTCTGCCACAGAATGTCCATGGAGACTTGTCTTCAGCTGGGTTTTTGGTTTTAGATTTGTTTTCTAACTTACTTTAACTTCCAGATGAAAAGTGGTATTTTGCCAGATGGGGGCAGGCTAGGCTTTGTGTCCAAGGCCCACCAGGTTGTGGCCAGCTCTGAGGGAAGAGTGTACTCAATCCTGGCCTGGCTGTCACATGGAGCAGCCTGCAGTGTTTCCAGGCTGCTTAAGGCCAGATGGCAGGCTGAGCTGGCTGCCCTGGGGTTGGGGTTCCCAATTTCCCAGTGAAGGAAGCAGAGCTCCACTTCGCTGAACTCACACAGCGTCTGGCGCCAGGCCCCTGACTCAGAGACCAATGAGGGAGGTTGAAGAGGAGTCTGGACCTGTCCTAAAGAAAGAGGGCAGCTGATCCCGTGAGGGGAGCAGGATTACGGCTGAAGATCCTGGAGAATCAACTGCTGCTGAGGGGGTGTTCGCATCCACCTGTGGTGTGCTTACTAAAGGTGATCTTGTGAAATGTACTTTATTTATTCATTTATTATTTTTTAAATTTAAGTTCCGGTGTACATGTGCTGATCATGCAGGAAGTTACATAGGTATACACGTGCCATGGGGGTTTGCTGCATCCATCTCCTGGTCCTCTACATTAGGTATTTCTCCTCCCCAATCTCCCCACCCACTGCTATCCCTCCCTTAGCCCCCCACGCCTTTACAGGCCCTGATGTGTGATATTCCCCTCCCTGTATCCATGTGTTCTCATTGTTCAACCCCACTTATGAGTGAGAATATGCAGTGTTTGGTTTTCTGTTCTTGTGTCAGTTTGCTGAGAATGATGATTTCCAACTTTATCCATGAATTTTGGATTTTCACATAAAAAATATAATAACTGTTTTTTCTTTTTTCTTTCTATTTTTTTTGAGATGAAGTCTCACTCTGTTGCCCAGGGTGGAGTGCAGTGGTGCAATCTTGGCTCACTGCAACCTCCATTTCTTGGGTTCAAGTGATTCTTCTGCCTCAGCCACCTGAGTAACCAGGATCACAGGTGTGCACCACCATGCCTTGCTAAATTTTTTTATATTTTTAATACAGACAGGTTTCACCATGTTGGTCAGGCTGGTCTCGAAGTCCTGATCCCATGATCTGCCTGCCTCGGCCTCCCAAAGTCCTGGGATTAAAGGCATGAGCCACTGTGCCTGGCCAACAACATCTTTAAAAGTCGAAAGATAGAAGAATTTGAAAATAAACCTCAACTGTATTCTTTCCTCCTACCAGCTGCAGTTAGCCCATCATTAACAGAGTTAGCAGTAAGGAAGGCCATGTTTTAGTGATCTCTGAGACAGCTGAAGCCCGGGTTTCCTGGAGATGTCACCACCTATGAGCATAGTAGGGATAAATAGACTCAGCAAACAGAGGAGGCGATGTGCCTGTTAATCTGTTCACCTGCATTCCACCAGGAAATAAGCCATCTACAAAAATGTGGCATGAGAGGAACAACAAATGCCATGACAAGCACCAAAATGACAGCCAGGCCAGAAGGAGGTCATCTCCTCCCTCAGCACTGCCCACAGCCTGGAATTTGCCCATGATGCTCAGCCAGCTCCTGCTTGGGGAGGCCTCCTCTGATGACCTGTGTGGGCAGCTCACCTGGGGCATCTCAACCAGGATTCCATACATTGTCAAGGCAAGGAAGATCCCTGGGTCCTCCGCTGTGACACAAGTGTGGACCCAGCACACTTCGTATGCGTGGACAAATTTGTAAAGATGGACAAGGCAATATTTGAATTTTTAAGTTACTTGCAAATATATTAAATTTTAACTTTTCATAGTTTTTCATAACATGAGATATAAAAATTAGAAGCATAAAAATAAACTGGGAGGTGGGGAAGGTGCTCTCGGTGACATCACGGGTAGGGCGACCACTATGTAAATGAGGCAGCACAGGGGCTGCTGATTCGCCACCTGCTCCTTCCCCATGAAAGAGTTCCCTGCTGTGGGAGTGAGTCCAGGACTGCTGGTCGGACTTGAGAGTCCCAGCTTTGTGTCAGAGCTAGGAGGGCTCCGGACTGGGGTGCATAGGCCAAGTCACCGTGTGTGAAAGGGTGAGGTGTATGAGGCTGTGTCAGGCAGAAGCATGTGAATTTGTGTTGGCTAGTGAGTGACATACCATGGTTTTGATCCTGGGTTTATCTGGATGAAGGCTTATCCCTTAAACTTTGGATATGCTGACTTCTGTGGTTTTCCCAAAGGTGGAAAACTTGACTGCATTAGCTGTGGTGGCAGGTGACTGTGTCCCTGTTTTTGCTTGTCCTTTAGTGTGAAAACCAGAGGGCAATGTAAAGGGTTGTTGTCGGTTTCTGTGGGTTGGTAGCTTGCATGGTGTTGTAAGTCATTGTTATAGCTGCAAATATCGGGTATAGAAAGTAATCATTTGTTACCATTCTTGCTGTCGCCCTTGTGAGTTTCTTTAACAGAAGCCAAGTGCATGCAGAGCTCTTCTCTTCCTTTTGTAAGTGAAGTTAATTTCTGCAGTGATTGCTTCATGGTCTCCAGTCTCTCAGGTTCTCACGCTCTGTGAAAACCTTATGTTTTCTCATATCCCCCAGAATCACCCTTCACATAGCCTCTGCTTCTAACTGCAGCCCTTATGAGAGTGTAGGATTTCTGTGCCAGCAGGGAATGTGTTCTCACCTCATAGAGCCAGGTAGAAACTGTACACAGATGGCCACTTCTTTAGGATGAAAACAAAGCCTTTGGGGCTCTTAGTGTTCCTGTTGGGTGGTGGATGTAGCACACTTACTTTGTGGGGTTGTGGATGTAACACAAATTTGTTTAAATTGGAAAAAATTCAAATTTGTGGAGGTGAACAGTTCTCCCAGCACCCAAGTGCCCTTGCGCATATTCGCATGGAGACCCACAAGTCAGAACTGTAGTCTCACCTGGTGGCAGAATGCACTGCCATCTACCCCAACTACCCGAATTACTCAGCAATAAAATGAGAAACATTACAGAAACATGAGATAGCATGAATAATCTCAAAAACATGCTGAGTGATGGAGAGTGCATCCTGTGTGGCGCCATCAAGGTGCATTTCTAGAACAGGAGAAACTAACTTGTATAGTGACAGAAACTACATCCATCATTGATTGCTGGGATCAAGGAGTTGGTGGGGGACTGACTGCAAAGGGCACAAAAGGACCTTGGAGTAATAGCTACATTATCAAACTTGAAATGGATGTATTGTACCATATTCAACTCACACCTTAATCAACTTGATTGTAAAAAGTCATAAGAAAACCCTCCAAATCTTAATGTCTTCTACTTAGAGTATGTACATTCCTTTAGAAAAGTGTGTAAAGGAAGGAGTTCAGGAATTCCTTCACTTCTGTTTCTGTTTCTTTGTCTGCAGTTAAGTTCATGCTCTATGAAATGGAATATTTGTAAAATAAAAATAAAATCTGAGCTCAATTTTATAAAAACATATATGTCCTTTTTTATTTTATTTTTTCATATGTATTATATATGTACATAAACATACATACGTATATATTCTTTATTATTTTTTCTTTTGTGCAGCCTGGAGAGTACAGTCTAGTTAAAATATACATTCTTCTCTCTGTAGATACACCACAAGACCATAACTCGAGTGTTGCCTGAATGTTATGAAAAGATATTTTTGAACTTAAGGTGATCAAAAATTTAACATATGTGTACATTTTCTGTACTGTTAGTATAGTCTATGCTTAGCATGTATAATTTAAAAAAATACAATAGCTTAAAATGATTTGGAAGAAAAATATGTACATATGTTAACAGTAATTAATTCCAGGTGGTCTGAATATGGATGGCCAGTTATCTACTTCTTTATGGGTTTAAAAAATATTTTTAAATGGAAAATCCTCAATGATCTGGAAGTGAAAGAACAGAGTAGACATGGAAGAAGGGGTGTGGGGCAGGTGAGAGGAAAATGTAAAGGGAGGAAAAACCCAGTCCTGGCAGGAATCATGTTTAAGTTGAAGGTTTCTGGGAAGCAGTTGCTGGGATAAGAAGGATATAGAGGAGGTAGTGAGGAAGGAGACCCAGGCCTCTGAGATCAACTTTCCCTTTGACTATAACACTTCAATAGAAGAAAAGGCTGACTGACTGGTGCCTCCTGTTTCACCTTCCTGTAGATGGCAGGCTTGGTCTTGGGGAAACTCTGGAAGACTGTTTCTACTTAACACAAGATCAAACCCAGGAACCTTTTAACATGTGAGTCCTAAAGCTATAAACACAGAAGCCCTTTCATATGTGATTTCTAAAGCTGTAAACCTAAGACTCTTCTAAGTGTAATACCTAAAGTAAAGGCCTACATAAACATAGAACCTTCCTTTATTAAACGAGCTGGGTAATTTGGAACCATCGCTCAGCTCCCGGCCATATTAATAATATTAACAATGATAATAATACTAAACCTTTCCTTCCCTATTCGGTGTTTGGGAGCTGTTTCTCACGGCTGCTCCTGCAACAGTAGGAGAATCGTGGAAATATTTAGGACAGTGTACTGCCTGTCACATCATTCCTCCTCCTTTGGTGTTTCTTCAAAAGAAATACACAGCCTTACATTTCTTTTCAAGCATGCTTACCATTTGTGTTTCTCTTTTACTAGTGTAACTGCCCAGTAGCTTTATCTTGCCTGTTGCCCAGAAAAGCCAATGGAGCTGAGAACAGCAGTCTTTCTGCAACAGAGAAAGAATTGAATAAACGCAGAGGCAGCTAAGTGACCAGGACAGGGGTTTATTATTACTCAAATCTTCCACCCCCCCAAATTCAGAGGCTAGGGATTTATTTAAGGATAGTTTGGTGGGCAGAAGGCTGGGGAATGGGGAAAGCTGATTGGTTGGGTTGGGGATGAAAATCACAGGGAGTCGGAGCTTGTTTACTTGCAGTGAGTCGGCCCCTGGGCAGGGACCACAGGACCAGATGAGCTAGTTTAGCCGTCGGTGTGTGCCAACTAGTCCATCATAACATAGGATCTGAAAAATACCCTGAACACCAACTTAGGCTTGACACTAGTGATGTTATCTACAGGCACAATTGAGGAGCTTAGGAATCTAGTGGCTTCTGCCTGCATGGCTCCTGAAACATAATTTCCAATCTGGTGCCTGATTTGTTAGCTTTGCTAAGGAGGTCTGATCCCCAAGAAAGGAAGGAGTTGGTTTAGGGAAGGGGCTATCATCTTTGTTTCAGACTTAGACTTGGAAGTAAACTCCTCTCATAGTTAGCCTGGCCTCTGCCCAGGGATGGACAAGGGCAGCTTGGAGGTTAGAAGCAAGTGGCAGTCAGGTCAGATTTCTTTCACAGTCACAATTTTCCTATGTGAGGTTTTTCTCACTGTCATAATTTTTGTGAAGGTGGTTTTGTTAGGAGCAGTATAAATACAATGGTTCTAAGAATGTCTTCTGGAGCCAGGCGGCCTTCACTTCAAATTCCTGCTTTCAAATCCTCCTTTGCTGGCTAAGTGACCATGGGCAGGTTATTTAATGTCTTTGTGCATCTGTTTTCTCGTATAAAAGATGAAGGTGATTGTGTGACCTCAGCCTGAGGAAAGCCCCAAATGAGTAAACATATGCACACGCATCAGCTGTGCCTCACATGTGGCACTTTGCATGTCAGGAACAGTTGAGTGTGCATATGTTACTCATGTGCATGTTAGCTCTTGTGTTTTGCCTGCAACACTGCACAAAGAGATGTGATGAAAACGGTTGTGCTGAAGTCACAGCAGTGGTACTTTCCAGTGGCTGTGCACCCTCCCAGGGAGACTGCAGCAATCCTCTCACCAGCAGTGATCTCCAGGGCTGGGAGATCCCAGGAAGGCCCCTCAATCTCCAGCAGGTTTGACCTTCAAGGAGCTTCAGGGAATGAGCTATAGATGTATATCTACCTGGGAGGAACTGGGAGTTTATTAGCTCATCTGTTCATTTCATCCAAAGGGCAATAATGATCCAATTTCTTGCCTTAAATCTGCCCCAGTAAAATGTTTATAGTTTTACAGTGGAAGACATTTGTACATGTAGGAAAGGAAATATGACTTTTCCTCACCCAGCCTAGGTTCACTGCTGAGACCCTTTACAGCAAAAGACAGACTTACAAGAGAAGAGCACATCTAGTTATTTAAAATAAGTTTCATACAGCAGGAGTGCCTTCCAAAGGAAATGAAGGCCCATGGAAACAAGTAAACCTCAGTTGTTGTTTTTTTAACAGTAGGTTTTATGAAGAGTGAGTAGTCATGGAGAACTATGATAAGACAAAAATGTATGATCTAACAGTAACAAATTGGGGATAACGTGGCCAGGCCTCTTTATTCAGGCTCTTCTCTGTGTCCCTGTGTCTTCAGATTCAAGGGCGCACAATTCCTCTGGGTACAGAAAGGACACTTCTCACATGTGAGTCTCATGATCAGCTTCAGGGAAGAAGGGCAGGGGGAGAGTGACAGTGACTTTCCTGCTTCTGTTGTTTTCTCAAATTCCTTTAGCATAAAATATTCAATACCCCAGGTGTTATAATTTGGAGTAGCATGTCCTGAACCCCATCATGCACGTAGAATGAAATCCAGAATCTTTGAAGGATGATACTTATGACTACAAAATATTTAAATTCAAAATAGAAATGATGGCCCAGTGGAGTGGCCCACTCCTGTAATCTCAGCACTTTGGGAGGTCCAGGCAGGTGGATCACTTGAGTCCAGAAGTTCAAGACCTGCCTGGCCAATGTGGCGAAACCCTGTCTCTACTAAAAAATACAAAAATTAGCCTGGTTGTGGTGCACACTTGCAGTCCCAGCTACTTTGAGAGGTGGGGCATGGGTGGGAAAGGATCAACTGAAGCAATATCATATGTACAAACAAGTACATATGTTTTTGTGTACTTGTTTGTACTTAAATAAAAACAAGTACAAGTGTTTTTATTTAAGGCTAGTTGAGTGATGCAGTGGAAGGAGAGAAGAAACAAATCTATAACTGGCTATGATCAATTATTTGTAAACAGGAATGAATTTTTATGCACTATACGCTGTAATCAAAGTCACATATGCTGCACAGTTGGTGGCGAACAGCAGTGCCCTGGGCACTTCCTACACTTGTTTCTGGGGATAACAATTTTCAATGCATGCAGCCAACCTCTCCATGTATATTGTTACTCTGACTGTTCAGTTTTCCCTCCCAGGCCCTGCAGTCCAGGCTGCTGGAGAAAACGGAGTTTGTGTGTTTCCCTACCTCCCAGTCCACTCCAAGGAGCCAACAAGGCATTCCACCTGCCCCCACCCCATGTCCTTTAAACTGAGCCCTCAAAGACTAGGGTGTTTTTCAGTCCTTCATAAAAGCTTTCAGTCCCAAAATAGGAAAATCAGAGCAATGGTCCTGAGCGCATTGAGTGACATGCTACCTTGCTTCCAAGACCCAGCAGGAGCGTCATCCCAAGTGCTCTAAAGAGCAGGAGAAAACATTTGTAACTCTGGTCACATCTCCTTGGGGCAGGGTCCTGTCGGGATAAGGGGGAGCCCCATCATCAGAGACCCACCCCTCAGAGCTGCTCAGGCTCCCCTTCTCCGTGGCTCTGTGGGAGCTTGGCTCCAATGGGGGGGGGATTGGGAAGGGGTCCCAGCCCCTGCACTGGAAGAGGCCACCCACCCGGTGGATTTCTCTTTCCAGCTGAGATCTTGGGATGAAACAAAATTTCCTAGAGTCAGGTTCCAAAGCTTAGTGAAACAGGGGCTTTTAGGGCCCGCAATAGAGAAGAAATTCAGCATGGAAATCTGAATATAAAAAATAGAGTAAATTAATATTCGGAATAGAATGGCCCATCTGAATAAAGCTGTGCTACTCCCAAGTTAGGTCTGGAACCATTGACCCTAAACTGAGACACAATCACCAATGACTGAGCTAATCTTACCAAAATTTCTCAGCCACTGTTTACTTACCAAAAAGACAATGGGTGCCATTCTGAGATTTCCCAGGTGAAAGGAGTCTCAGGGTCTAGGGTGGAGGGGCAGGAACCTTTTTAGAGGTGGAGACCCCTCACCCTGAGGCCCAGGGTCAACTTGAGAGGAGGTGGGGACTTTCTGGGTTGCTGGGTCCCTGGCGGGGGTCTGGGACTCCGATTGCACAGGGCCAGGCGGCTCACCCAGGACAAGGACCCTCCAGGCTCTGTGACTCCAACTGGATGATTTGGCAATTTCCTTTTGGTCCAGGCCACTGTGAAAACCCGGCTTCTGGCATCCCAAACACCAAAGAGGGAGACAGAGGGAATGAATGGGGACGTGGGGCACATCAGGAGACTCAGACGCAGGAGCAGAAGAGACATGCAGGCCTGCAGCCCTGAGCTTCTGAACTTCAGTGGAATACCCATGCCATTCAGGGAGTAAAAGATGGCATTACATCCTAATTAAACAGGAAGGTTCCACCAAGACTCGAACTTGAATCACTGGATTCAGAGTCCAGAATGCTCACCATTACACCATGGAACCTTATGCTGAGGCTTTCCTGGAGGTATCTGAATTTCTAATAAGTAGCAAAAGTTTTCATTTACCCATGTCAAGGCATTTCTATTGATCCCACAAGTAACACTTGGGAAAGGTGGACCTGCAGGAAGGAACCATTCTTCTTGCTTTCTCTCTGCTGTCTCTTTTGACCGACTTTTATTATTTCACTTGCACCTCAGAAAGCGAGGCAAAATCCACTCTGGATTTAGGACCAGAGCCCTTGAAGCCTGGGTCATACAGTTTCCTGTGCCAAGGTGAAAGTGTCAGCTTTTGGACACTTTATTGCACTTAATTTTTTATACATCCATTTCCCAGACAAGACATGTTTATTCATCTTTTTAAACCTCATGGCTCAGCACAGGGCCTGACACACAGAAGGCACTCAACAAATATTTAATCTCCAAAGCATGGCCATTCATGCATCCATAATCCTCTTTTTATAATATAAAGATGGACGATATTCAGGCCCCCATGTATATTTTAAGGAAAATGTAATTCCCAATAAGCTCTTCTTTTTAAAGGTGAGAAACAGTTCTAGTGTTCAATTTCAAAATCAGGATGACATTCAGGTGCGTGTAGGAGGTTTTGTCACTAAAAGACAAATACCAAACCTTATTTGCCTGCACACCACTGCCTTTTCCCTTTTCTTCATTTTATCTGTCCATATGAAAGCAAAGGTTTTATTATAGTTTTCACCATCTGTAAGAGCCCTGAACAATTTTTGTTCCTATAAGGGCTTTTTTCTTTTTTTTTTTTTGTTTGAGACGGAGTTTCACTGTTGTTACCCAGACTGGAGTGCAATGGCACAATCTCGGCTCACTGCAACCTCCGCCTCTTGGGTTCAAGCAATTCTCCTGCCTCAGCCTCCCGAGTAGCTGGGACTACAGGCGCGCGCCACCGTGCCCAGCTAATTTTTTTTGTATTTTTAGTAGAGACGGGGTTTCACCTCGTTGACCAGATGGTCTCGATCTCTTGACCTTGTGATCCACCCGCCTCGGCCTCCCAAAGTGATGGGATTATGGGCGTGAGCCACCGCGCCCGGCCCCTGTAAGGGCTTTTTACTTCAGTTTTTGTCATCTATAAAAGCTGTTTGTGGAGACTGAAGATTATCGACTATCTTCTCTTCTATCTCTATGCCTTTTTCTATTTCTTCCTCTGATAGCGGTAACTTGGTTTCCGAATCTTTGGTTACAATGAACACAAAGGACTGTCGTGACTCGAGGATATTAGCCACAACCACTTCATGCTGATAAATTTCCAAAGCCTTCCGAGCTCGACTAATTACAATGGAGGGGTCAGTCTCCAACTTAAAGGAAATCATAAACGCTTTGGGAGCCCAATCTTTAACCAAAGGAGAAAGCATTTTTGGCACCATCTTCATTGTTATCTGCAGTGGGCCCCCAGATGACTGGATCTTGTGTTCAGGCATTTCAGAGACAGGAACATAGAAATCTGACACGGCCGCAGCCAGGTGAAACATCGCAGAAGGGCCTAGCGGACTGAGTGCCTGGGCCGCAGCCTGCAACAGATGCAAATAGTCCGCCCAAGTGGTGAACTCTACCGCCAGGAAGGTGCCTGCAGCCGCAGCCTCCTGGTAGCTCCGCAGAGCCTCAGCAAAACCCGGGAGTCCATTCTCCTCCACCTCCAGGCTCAGCAAGCCTGAATGGCCCGAGCCTGAAGGCCGCAGAGCCGACAGCCAAGTCTGGGGTGGGAAGCGGAGGGCATAGCGGAAGGCAGAGCGAGCGCGATACAAGAACAGAACCCAGTGGCCGGTGGCTAGGAGGCCTCAGCGGAGGCTGCACCGCGCCGCCCGCTGCTGAAGTTGTCCAAGAAGCGCACGGGCCACGCCTCCAGTGGGACCTTGGTGCCGCCAGACGTGACCAACACCACCCGCCGGCCCTGTGCGCCCAGCCTGGCAGCGAAGTGAGCCGTAACCTCAGCCCAGCGTGTGGCACCGGGAGGCTGGGGGAACTCGGCTACGAGGAAAAAATGTGTGTTTTCTGATAGAAGAACTCGGTGGAATTGATAGAATTGAAGCTTTACAACTGCATGAGAACCGTCAGATTAGCCTGTCGGCTTTGAACATCATCTGGAAGCACTTTAGCGAGGAAGAAGATGAGAGCTAATGTTACTGAGCCAAGTCGTAGACCAAGATTGTGAATTTGTAAATTGTGACTGCTTAGCAAAAAAATAGCCAAGCTCCGTTACTCCTAACCCAACAACCCAATGCCAGTGGATAATCTCTTTAAGAAGCAGCAGCCCTATGTCTTAGTGTAACCCAAATGTAAAGCTTTTAAACTTAACGTTAATAAAATGTTCAGCATGTAAAAAAAATATATATGTATAGATAAAAATATATATGTATATATAAAATATACCTATAAATATATAAAATATATGGATTATATATCATATAATATATATATATATGTTTCCAGTTCCACTTTCTTTTTATTTAAATAACCGAAGCTGTGGCACAGCAGAGGGAAGCTGGGTTGGGGTGTGTAGGAGGTGGCAGCAGTGTGGCCTGATGGAGGGGGAAGAGTGAGCAGTGATAGGTCACAGGGGACTCCCCACACACCTGTCAGGTTCAGCAGTCATGGCCATAGGACTGGGGGCACTATGGAGGAGCCATCAGGTAGTGATGTTTCCCCAAGTCCCAGAGACCTTAGGGACGGAAGCTAAGTCAGCTCCCTCAAGTGGCAGGGCCAGGGCATCCCAGTCAGGGGTCATGGGCCCCAGAAGGCATTTTCAGCAGCCCCAGCAGCTGCATTGGCAGCTGTGGTTCGCACCACAGAGTTGGAGAACACACCAGCAGCAAATTCTTGCTGGGCCTTCTGAAAGCTGGCACCTGTACACGGAGTGGATCCGTTTTAGGATGACAATTCCTAGCACAGCAATGCCAGTGAAGAGCAGGGCGACCAGCAGCATGAGCACAGCTACTGCCAGACTGATATTCAGCACCTCCAGAGCAGAGATCCAGCCACTGAATCCCCAACCTGGGATACCAATGGCCTGGAGGACAAACAGCACATCCTGGGCAAAGAAAATGAAGAAGAAAACAAAGAAATTGAATGAACTGTCACTCCGGAAGGCCTTATACATGGGGTGGTACCAGCAGACAGGGGAGCAGGGTGTGAAAAGGAGGATCCAGAGGATGGAAAGCCCAAAGCCTGAGCCACTGCTGGTTTCCACACAGAACTTAGGCAGGCGAGGAAGTTCAGGAGAAGAGCCAGAGTGCTGCACATCGAGAGGTAGTACCTGGTGGATACAGTCTTCTGAAATTCTTGGGGGATCTCCATGGAGATGTCCTGGAAAAAGCAGGGCTGAACTGGACAAAAAGAAGGTAGAGGGGCCAATTGTTCTGTCGAGTAGCAGTGCCCCCCAGGGCAGCATGCTGCAGCTCTCGCTCCCTTCGGTCCAACTCCTCTGCCTTCCGGTTGAGCTCCTCCTGTTTCTTTACCAGCTCAGTTGTGGCTGCTGCAGCTGAGGCATGAGTGCTGTAGGAACCATAGTTGTTAGGTTCTGTGGGGCTGAGCTTTCTTGAGGACTGCAAGGAGGGAGCTGAGGGTGGAGGCAATGGATCAGGGGCTGGAGGTTCATAGGCTGTTATAATATATAACTATATTAGGCACATAGTAAACCAACCCAGCTGGCAGTATGCCACGCTTGACGTCTACAACCCTTTTGAGACCCAGGAGCCACCGCCAGCCTATGTATGTGTATATATGTGTATAATATATAACACACATATATATATTTATATATAATATAGCTATCTGCGCCGTCAGAAGGGCCGGCGGATTCGGGAGCTGACTGCTGTAGTTCAGAAGAGGTTTGGCTTTCCAGAGGGCAGTGTAGAGCTTTATGCTGAAAAGGTGCCACTAGAGGTCTGTGCACAATTGCTCAGGCAGTACCTGCATCACAAACTCCTGGGAGGGCTTGCTGTGCGCAGGGCCTGCTATGGTGTGCTGCAGTTCATCATGGAGAGCGGGGCCAAAGGCTGCGAGGTCGTGGTGTCTGGGAAACTCCGAGGACAGAGGGCTAAATCCATGAAGTTTGTGGATGGCCCGATGATCCACAGCGGAGACCCTGTTAACTATTACGTTGACACTGCCATGCGCCATGTGTTGCTCAGACAGGGTGTGCGGGGCATCAAGGTGAAGGTCATGCTGCCCTGGGACCCAACTGGTAAGACTGGCCCTAGGAAGCCCTTGTGAGCATCGTGGAACCCAAAGATGAGATACTGCCTACCACCCCCATCTCAGAACAGAAGGGTGGGAAGCCAGAGCCGCCTGCCATGCCCCAGCCAGTCCCCACAGCGTAACAGGGTCTCCTTGGCAGCTGCATTCTGGAGTCTGGATGTTGCTCTGTAATGACCTTTAATAAAATATTGTACAAAAGACTATATATATATATATATTTTTTTTTTTTAAGTAGAAGCAGAACAAAATGAATTTATTGACCAATCTATTTTTTAGAAATGAACTGAAAATTTCACTTTTATAGCAGGAAGGCAAAACAAAAAAAGCTCCTCAAAACCAAAAAAAACCTCTGTACCATTCCAGCGGCTTGACCAGTGACCTATGTCACAAGAGGTGGCGTGTAAGGAAGGCAGCCCCCTGCGTCTGGGGGAGCCCGTTTCGAAACATCAGTGCACGTTCTCACCTCTTATGCTCCTAGTTGGAACTAAGCAATTTGTAAACTTTGGTCTTTTTGTAAATTTACAAAGCTTTGGAAGAAGCAGCAATACATTTTTGTTTTCAAATGGCTTGATGTGCCTTTTTTCTTGTTGCCCTTGAAATATGTTTAACCCATTGTGGGAGAACCCTGGATTCCCCATCCCCTGGTTCACAAAACCAGGCAGAGTTCAGCAGCTACATTTGGATCAGACATGCGAGTCAAGACAATACCACTAATCAGACCAATATGGCTTGTGAGCAAAGTGGGTGAAAATTGAGGGAACTGACTGGGACCTGCTGTCTAACATCATTTTAAGGTTGAACTTGAGCACAGATAGAGAAAGCTGATGGAACGCCAAGCACCAATGTGAAGAAGATACAATAAATTTATAGTTATAATTATATATCTGTTGTATATATATGTGTATATATGTATATATATATGTACATATTTTTTTCTGAAAATCCAGTTTATTTTCCATGTCATGGACAGATCCAGTCAGTATGATCAGTTTTTCTGCATGTGTAATAATTTATCAAATTTAAGTTTTCCCACAAGCCTCTTTTCCATCATCAACTCTGAAAACCCTGGTCTGACAACATACCCAAATACAGCTTTTGAAAATCACCTCTTAAAATTTGGAAGAAAATGTGACAAGTCTTTCCTATAACATTTACTGGACTACAAATGGCTAAAGAGCATTATGTTTTAAAAGGTGAATAGTACAATAGCTGAGTTCAGGAAATTGTTTTAGTGCACTTTGCTCCAGTTTTAGCCCACATGCTACATTTTCCTTTTTGGTTTTTTGTTTTTCTGGGAGGGGAGGAGAGGGGACCGCACAAAGTAGACTTGAGGATTTCCATTGTGCGCAAAAGGTAAGACTCTGCAAGCAAAACAGTGTAAGCTGCCTTTTTTCTTAAGACCTGGACATTTTAAGACAGAAGCTTTGCAAAACATTACACAATTTCTTATTATTAAATGAGAAAATCTCATGTGTTATATCATCACATTGCTAGTCAGAGAAATGCTGCAGTGATGCAGAAAGTCAGTGCTGAACTGACCAAAGTCCTCATTCCTACAACATTCATTTACAAAGAAATAATGTTCAACACAGCCCAACAAAACATTCTTGGTTTTCCTCATATTGAAGTCCCCCAAAAAATCCTCTTCTAATGGGGTATTTCATTACATAAATGATAGTTCTTCATTTTTACAATTCACCCCACGCTGTATGAGAAATGTATCACACTAATATTTCTAAAGCTGTTAGGAAATCTTTCACACATTGTCGTCATCTGATGTGTCACTGCTACTTGTTTCTGTGTCATCATTCTCAACTGTGGGTTTGAAAATGCTGTTCTTCCAGGGTCCTAACTTGAAGTCACAGATCAGGCCATTTTTCAAAATGCCATTTTTTCTAAGACCATTCTTCTGTAACTGTTCACTAATAACTTGGAATTCTCTCATTTCATCCTTAGTTAAGGGAGCACATGTTTCATCATTTTCACTGTCTTCCTGCCAGCCCATTTCCTTTAACAATCTGTGTTCTGCCTCAAGCAAACTTGAAAGAACATCAGTTTGTGGGAAGGTTGAAGATTGAATGATCTGTTGGGAAATCACTGAGGCATTGCCATTCTCTTGAGAAATTTCATTTTCATTGAAGTGTTGGTTTATATCCCTTTCTTGGTGAGTACTATTGCTGTTATGTAAATTACATGAGTCGTCATCCCTCTGAGCCAGCACGGCCTTCATCTTCATGTTCCTCTTCTACTCTGTCTCTTATTGCTTTCAAAAATTCACTCTTCTTATCAGTATGCATTCATGTCAGTTTGGTTAGACAAGGCTGCTGATTAAGTTTATCAACAGAGGAAGAGGAATTTGAATGATTAAACTCTTTCACTGAATTTGTTGATGGACTAAAATTCTTGGCAGTTGATTTAAAAGCATTAAAGTAGCCAATACCATATGTAGACTTATGAGGGAAAGAAGTTCCAACTTTATTTTCTTTTGTTTGGCTTTTCCATTGTGTAAGTTTTGTAGGTGTAGCAGCAGGTTTAGGGACTAAACCTTTATAAACACTTGGACCAGTTCCATTCTTAACTGGCTGTGACTGAAGATTTCCTACTACTGGGAATCCAGACAGCTGTCAGTCTTTGGTATTACCTTTCTTAATGACCAGCATCCTTGGAGCTCTAGATTTAGGATTCGGAGGATATTCTAAGAGAGGAGCTTGGGAGATTTTTTTGGTTGGGTATGTGTGTGTTTGGGTGTGTAGGCCCCACACACCTGCAGCTAAAGATTTATTGTGATTTGGTTCTCTCTCATATTCAGGAGATCTGAAAATGTGTTTATATATGCACTATATATATATATATATATATATAGTGTATATATATAAAACATATATATAATAAACACATATAATTTGTAGCTGTAGATGGCTGTGACAAGAGTACAGTGTTAAAACTGTAATTATATATAATAAAGCCTTAAATCTGCATCCTCCAGCCTTCAGGCGACCTCCAAGAAGGGTATAAACAGATGAGAAAGTTCACAGATACCCTTCTTGGAGGTCGCCTGAAACCTGGAGGATGCAGATATAAGGCTTTATTATATACAGTTTTAACACAGATACCAGAAAAAAAAGCAGATCCGCACATGCAGTGAAAATCAGCATTGAGGGCAACAAAATGCCATTGTGACTTTGCCTGGATTGTGTCCCCACCTCTGCTCTAAGAAATGCGCAGTGGACTCTTTGGAGAAAGAAGACATTTTAAAAATGTTTTAGTGTGTCAGTAAATGGTTCCGCCTGTATCAGATGTTGTCATAGGACTCGCATTTCTCTCAGTTATATTTAAAACTGTTTGTCGTGTGTTTGTACAGAGGAATACTAGTCATATTTCTATAAACTTTCCACAATAAAATTTCATTCTGGTTTAAAAATATATATATATATAATATTATATATATTTATACATATATACATGTAAATATATGTATATATATTTACATATGTATATTTGTGTATATATATATATAGTATATATTGTATATTATATAATATGCATCTGCAATTCAGGAAAAAACAGATTGAAGAGCTGAAGGGACAAGAAGTTAGTCCTAAAGTATATTTCATGAAGCAGACCACTGGAAACTCCTGTGGCACAATTGGACTTATACATGCAGTGGTCAATAATCAAGATAAACTGGTATTTGAGGATGGATCAGTCCTGAAACAGTTTCTTTCTGAAACAGAGAAAATGTCCCCTGAAGACAGAGCAAAATGCTTTGAAAAGAATGAGGCCATACAGGCAGCCCATGATGTCGTGGCACAGGAAGGCCAATGTCGGGTAGATGACAAAGTGAATTTCCATTTTATTCTGTTAAACAACGTGGATGGCCACCTCTATGAACTTGATGGACGAATGCCTTTTCCGGTGAACGATGGTGCCAGTTCAGAAGACACCCTGCTGCAGGATGCTTCCAAGGTCTGCAGAGAATTCACTGAGCATGAGCAAGGAGAGGTCCGCTTCTCTGCCGTGGCTCTCTGGGAGGGACTTTGCTGTTTTCCCTTCTTCCCTTCAACATGAAAATATATACCTCCCCATGCAGTCTAAAATGCTTTAGTACTTGTGAAACACAGCTGTCCTCTTTCCATTCTGCAGACATGCCTTCCCTTCAGCCACACCCAAGCATGAGCAGAGTGCATAGATGTCCACTGGGCCAGTGTGGTGTGAGCTTCAGATGGCAAAGCATTTTCCCCAGTGTATGTCTTGTACCCAATATCTAATGCTTTCAGTGGCTACTTCGGTTTCTGTTCATAAGTTAAGACCTTGGATGTGATTTGTTTGTCCTCAAAAGGAATGAAACTTTTCTGCTGATAAAGAAAAAATATATATATATAATATATTATATATATAAAAAATATATATTATATATATGTATTTTTAAAACCATTTCAAAGTATATAATTCAGTGCTGTTTAGTAGATTCACAATACACAATATTGTACAACCATCACCTCTATCGAATTCCAAAATATTTTCATCCATCCCAAAGAAAACCGATTAAGCGGTCGCGCCACCTCCTACCCCCAGCCCCTGGCAACCACTAACCTGCCTTTCGTTTCTATGGATTTGCTTATTCTGAGTATGTCCTATAAACTGAATCATACCACATGTGGCTTTTTGAGTCTGGCTGAGCACTTCCATGCCTTGGAACATACCCAAAAGAAATGGAAACAAGTGTTCAAACAAAACCTGTCCATGAATGTGCATAGTAGCAGTATTCACAAGAGCCAAAAGGTAGAAAAATTCCAGTGTCCATCAACTGATGAATGGAAATACAAAATGTGGTATATTCATACAGTGAAATATTATTTAATCAAAAAAAAGAGTGAAGTCCTGATTTATACTACAACACAAAGGAGGCTCAAAAAGAGTATCCCAGATGAAAGAAACTGTATGATTCCACTTATAGGAACTATCCTATATAGTTTAACATTTGGCTTCATAACCCAAGACGCTGTTCCAATGCAGCAGTTTTCCAAACCAACCAACAATTTTAAACTGCGTTCCCGGCAGTCATGTTGTCTCTATCACTATAAAAACACAAACCTTCGCAGTGGAGGGGGATGGGGTTGGGAGTGGGGGGAGTTAGAGATTATATTCGAAGTAGAGTTCTATTACGGTTATATTCAGGTGAATAACATATAAATAAAATGTAAAACAACTTTTTGCAAGCCCAATACAGCATATATATTGTATATATATATATATGTGTGTGTGTGTATATATATGCATATATTATATATAAATATATATGTTTATTTATACACATATACTATATATGTATATATACTGCACATATATTTATATATATAACCCTAAGTGCTTAAAAAGAACGAATCTTAAAAGTAAAATCAATTGATCAAGTATTTTACATTTTCTGGACCTGAATAAAACGAATATGTGATTAAATAAATTACATTTTATTCCAGAATGCTGAAAATTGCTAAGTACCTACTCCAGGTATATTTAAAGAGCACATTTAAATCAGAATTAAAATCTGTTTTGTAGTCATTTTTTGTTATTTTTATTTTGACATCATACTATTTTATGTAATAAATCATAATTTACTTTTAGTAAGTGTTTAACATAATTCAAACAAAGAGGATATTTATATACAGTCAGACAATATTTAATCCATATTAATTGGTACAAATTTTCAGTGCATTCAAAATTTAATTCTACTAATGCTCCTTACAAAAAACATCAAGGAGGCTGGGCACAGTGACTCATGCCCATAATCTCAACACTTTGGAAGGCCAAGGCTGGAGAATCACTTGAGGTAAGGAGCTCAAAACCAGCTTGGGCAACAGAGTGAGACCCCATCTCAACAACACCAATATATATCTCCAGGAGAAATATTTTATTATTATCTTAATTAATCATGCAATTACACCATAAAGTTTTTGAAAGCAAGTAACATATTAAAATATGTGCTTAAAAATAGGATACCAGAATGGAAAAAATATCCATAATTCATTTGCAAAGAAATGTTCAATGTCCGTGGGACTCAGATCATTGAATATCTGCACCTTTCTGAGGAAAGGAGGCCATACAGAGATTGAACCTCATCACTGTTGTCAAGCTTTCCATAAAGAGAATGATCATCGTCATCATCCGAAATGAAGATACATCATCACATTTGCATCAGATTCTTTCTTTGCTGAAGCTGAAGCATCTGCCCAGTGTTGTCTTTGCTGGAGTAGACAGCCCTGGAGATGTTCTCGATCACACCTACCAAGAGCTGTTTCGTGCAGGAGGCTTTATATCAGATGACAAGATATTAGAAGCCTTAACATCAGTTCAACTGAAGGAAATCATCAAAATCCTGGAAAAACTAAATGGAAATGGAAGATGGAAGTGGTTGCTTCACTATAGGGAAAGTAAAAAGCTAAAAGATGAAAGAGTAGATTCCACTGCACATAAAAAGAACATAATATTGAAGTCATTTCAGAGTGCAAATATCATTGAATTGCTTCATTATCACCACTGTGACTCTCGACCATCAACAAAAGCGGAAGTTCTGAAATGTTTGCTAAACCTGCAAATTCAGCATATCAATGCCAGGTTTGCTGTCTTCCTAACAGACAAGCCTACTATCCCCAGAGAAATCTTTGAAAATAGTGAAATCCCTGTTACACATGTAAATAACTTTATAGAAAATATACAAAAAGTAGCAGCGACATTTAGGAGTAGCTATTGGTGACCTAACTACAGCCTACCTGGATATGGATGATGTCAACAAAAAATTACTATTTTCCTTTTCCTTTGGAAAACTTGTGAAGACACATGTGAACAGTCTTATATTTGGAAAATCAGTGTTCTACAACTTGGAAAGCTTTCCTTTCTTTTTTTATATTTTGCTGAAATACGTGACATCACAGTGGCACTGTAGTTGTCTGTTAGCTTTAGGTTGCAGTACTAGATACTCTTTTAAATTATTTTCATTTTAAACAAGATCCCTTTCTAAGCTACTGAGCTTAATATTAAAAATACGAATTTTACATTTACTTAGTTGGAGCAAAAATAAGTCTACTTTAACAAATAGTTTTGTTTATGCATGCTATCGTCAGAAAGGCATATGACGCACATTATGGTCTTAACACCCTTATAAAAACTATCTTAAATAGTTTTATTTGCTGTTATACAAACAACACTACATAAACTTAAGACATTTTTTCCTAAATGGTACAAATTTATAAACTATCAATTTTCACTATGGTTTTTGTAAGTACTACACTACAAAAATCAGCTTTGACAAAGAAATAATATTTATTTATGATATTGAAATTTCTACAGTAAAAACTCAAAACCAAGCAAAAAACATTTGTAAGATATGTGGTATGTATTTGGAGCAAAGAATTTTGTAATTAATTTCATTTTTTAAATAAAGACAACTAAAAATCTCAATATATATTTTATATATAAATTATATTTATTTTATATGTAATATATACGTATATATTTGTTATAAATACACGTGTTTGGTGAGTGAGGGGCAACAGAAGGCAGAGAGATGGCGCTGTACACAGCTGGTATAGGCTTGGAGGTGGAACGCCGAGACACAGACAGTCCGCCCAGCAGGGCAGGCCGGGCAGCATTCTGGGGCTTGCAACACTTGGTTGGTGGTCGAGAGCCGCAGGAGGGCTGGCCCAGGGCTGGAGGGGCCCAGGCACCCTGCAGGCTCCCTGGTCCGAGGTCCTGGGTGGCATCAGTGGTGGCGCCTGGGCTCAGCTCATATCATTCGGGGCCTTGCGGACAAACTCTGGCGGCACAAAGGCGGCGCGGGGCACGTCGGAGTTGTAGTGCTTTTGCTGCATCTGCGCCACCTGGTGCTGCGTCAGCGGCTGCACCGGCTCCTGGAAGGTGGTGCTCGGGTTCTTGCTGCACAGCATGAAGTCGATTTGGCCGCTGGGGTAGGTGGGGATGGTGCAGTATGCGTAGGCCACCACGGGGAACAGTGATGGCAGAACTGCCGCATCTCCTTGATGAGGACCAGGTGCAGCCACAGGCACTCACCCTGGCAGCAGAGGACGCCATCTTCCTTGAGGGCCGCCTTCAGGAGCTGGTAATAGGACTCTGAAGAGACTCGGCGGGGCCCATGGAGTCTGAGGAGTCAGTGATGATCACATCAAAGGCATCCTGATTCTGTTTCATGAACTCAAAACCATCACCCACATGTAGGGTCAGCTTCAAGCTAGAAGAGCCAACAGCCATCCCCGGCAGGAACCTCTTGGAGACTTGGATGACATCCTCGTCGATCTCACACTGGACCACAGACTCCACGGAGGGGTGCTTCACCACCACGCGCAGGACACCTCCGTCTCCACCCCCGATGATCAGTACCTTTTGCGCGTTGGGGTGGCTGCAGAGAGGCAGGTTGGCGATCATCTCCTGGTAGAACTCATCCCTCTCTGTGCACTGGATGACTCTGTCCAACACCAGCACGTTGCCATAGGTCTTACTGTGGAAGAAGAGGATGTCCTGGTAGCGCGAGCGCCGGTGGTGGAGCACCTGCTCCATTTCTAGCGGCAGGGCCTGGCCGGGCCACAGGCTGCAGGTCTCGCGGAACCGGCCCTCGCGGATGGCGGCAGGGCCGGAGGCGGCTGGGCCGTCGGGCCGGACTCTAAGGCGGGCGGCGCGGGGCGCGGGCCCAGGACTGCAGGCCGCGCGGAGCCGCAGCACAGGTTGGTGTGCTGTGTGTATCTTCATTATATATATATATATAAAAGCATTGACTGTGTCACTGTGTCTTCTTTTCGGCCAGTGAAGGATATCACTGAAGAGAACTTAGAAAATGTTGCCATAACTGTTCGAGATAAAATCTATGATAAAGTTCTGGGTAACACATGCCATCAGTGTAGACAGAAGACCTTCTACACCAAGACTGTGCGTCGGAACCAGGGTTGCGGTGGTGTGCGGGGACAGTTCTGTGGACCATGCCTGCGGAACCGCTGTGGGGAGGATGTCAGGTCGGCATTGCTGGACCAGGATTGGGTGTGTCCTCCCTGTCGTGGGATCTGCAATTGCAGCTACTGTCGGAAGCATGACGGCTGCTGTGCCGCAGGAATCCTCATTCATCTGGCGAAGTTGTATGGTTATAACAATGTTAAGGAATATCTGGAGAGCTTACAGAAGCAGCTGGTAGAAGACAAGAGGAAAATGGAAGTAGCCACCTTGCCATAGACTACTCCAAGATTTCTCAGGAAGACAGCAGAGCAGAGAAATCAATATAGTTGTATACACAGACCTGTTTGTTTGTATGCTGTATTTTGTTAAAAGTATCTGCCAATGATTAAAAAGCACAATTTAAACTTAAAAAAAAAACTTGTTTGAGTGGGTCAGTTCCAGAGGAACTGAGAAGCAAATGGCAGGTTTTTAAAGGAAGGGTGGAAAGTACAGCAAATAAAAATCTTTGTTTTTGTAAAAAAAAAAAAAATTATATATATACATATTTTATATATTTTTATATTTGTTTATAATATATAAAAATAAATATATATATGTATATATGTGTGTATATACATTTGATCTATATATATATCGGGTGTCAGGTGACAAATATATATGTCAGGTGTCAGATCAAATATACAAGTGTTGCCCTAGTGCCTGTGGCCGCTCCTGCAAAACTCCCACCATCGTATTGACCCCAAAGATTGGCAGCTGCCCCTGGGTACAGCCCCCAGTGAGCCCAGAGCTCTGCAAAGAGCAGAGTGAGTGCTCCATGGACAGCCAGTGTTGGGAAAACAAGAAGTGCTGCTTCAGCCGCTGTGCCATGAAGTGTCTGGACCCTGTCCTAGAGGACCTCCCTCAGTGAGAGATATTCCCCCAAGAGCCCCTGCTGCCAGGAGTGACCGCCCCAAGTCTGCTATGCAGAAACCATGTCTCATGGATCCAGAGAGTGCATGATGCCTTCTACCGGCTGCTAATTTAAAAATCCACTCAGCTTCAAATATATATATATATATTTATTTATTATATATATTAAAATTTATTTATATAGATATAAATATTTTATTTAAAATGTATATATAATTCAATATATAATATGTATATAAAAATCCTTATTTGTTTTTGTAAAAAATATATACAGTGTATATATATTTTTTTCAAGGAAAAATGGCGTTTTATTTAAAAGAATCCATATAACAATACTTGTTTACATAATAAATAAAATTTACATTGAGGGCAAAAAGCCCTATGCATAAAAATATTGAGGCAAAATTCCAATTATAGAAGAGAACCGATCATGTTGGCCCTTGTGCCTATCCCACCGTCTTCCTCTTGTGAGATTCCACAGGAGGAGGAGAGCTTTGTGGAGGGAAAGGCAATGTGGCTCTGTGAAGGACACTGGCCTGGACGTCAAGGGCAGAGCTCGGGCCCTGCTGCTGCCCCTCCTCGCTGGCTCTCAGTCTCATCATCCTACATTGATAGGCCTGGACCAGATGACTTCTGAGTATCCTTTCAGCTTTCAAGCGTCATGATTCTAAGACATCCATAAAACCGTGCAAAGTCAAACGCATATCTGTAAATAAGTTTAAAGTTTGTAGAATCATTTAATAATGATCTTAAGTAATCCAAAGTATTTCTGAGTTTTTCTGTTGTGTCACATTGGAGAGAAGTCATTCCTTTTAACCACTCTTGTAGAGTAAAATAGCCCATGTTTTGTGCATCCAATTTCCAAGCCAGGACAAGCATAACTACGTTTTCTGGTTCAACACCAATGTCTTCACAAAATTTCTCCATGCCTTCAGGGCCTACAACATCATCAGTGCCTGCATATTCATAGAACCTTTTATTTGAAAAGGTTTCTTCTTCAGTCTTTATTCTAGTTGAATCATATTTTCTATACATGCTATCATGTCTACTTTTCTTGACAGATAAATCATCTCCAGAGGCGGGTCTTCCCTTTTTCCTTGGTGGCATCACTTTATTAAAGCAGTCTGAAGAACTGCAAGACCGCAGACTTCCTGTTTGGTGATCGTCTTGGTCATCGTCTTCTGTTAGGTTTAGCTTATTAAAGGTGTGGTAGATCTTATGAATATTTGCCAGTGTTGAGAGATGGGAGTTCAGCTGAAAGTTGACAGCGGCGGCATCCGAGTGCATTTTCAGGCAGCTCACACCCCGCTCGCCGCCCAGGCTCCCGCGCTCGCCTCGCGGTCCCATGCCGGCTCACTGCACTTCAGCTAAGAGCTGAGGACCCGCCGCCGGGCACTCCCAGCCCGCCCAACTCGCCTTCCTTTTTTTTTTTTTTTTTTTTTTTTTGCCGAGCACTGAAATCCTTTATTTGTTCATTTAGTTGCTGGCAACTGTTTCCTCAAAATCATTTCTTGAACCATAAAACCACACATTAAAAATGTTATTTCACTTGAAGTGACTCCTATGCAAATACCAACTTGGGATGTGTGTCCAAATGCCACAGAGCATTTGAGAAAAGAATCCTTTGCAAATAAAATTGAGGTAAAAGCTGAGTCAGGGATGACCCGATTCACCACTTCAGGAATGACGTGGGGCTGTACAAGCACCAGGTCAGCGAGGCTGGAGCTGAACCCTGAGTTCATGACCACAAGGGACAAGATGAGAAGGCCTGGGGACTGCGGCTGGGGAAGCGCGCAACCTTGAGTGCCGGTGGGCGCAACAGAGTCAGCCTGGGCACCAAGGAGGGGTGGTGGGCGCTGACCAGAGCAGGCCTGGCCAAGGCTGGGTGTCCGTGACTCCCTCATCTGAGCACCGAGGAAGGAGAGCTAAGCAGATCCCTGGCACAATTAGTGCCTGAAGAGTCTAGATGAATACAGAAATATATTTACATACCTCATTCTTATTATAACACTCATTTATATATATTATATGTATTATACATATATATGTATATATACACAAATA